AGTAAAACACATAGCCTAATGCTGGTTAAATGGTAAGTGAACAGTAAGGAGCAGATACCCTTACATTAAAATGAAAAATCAGTTTTATGTATTAATGGCAACACAACTAACTTCAATATTAGCAATTTGTAGGGAGAATTTCAAGATAGGATGCCGCCCCATCAAATAGCTCAGAGACAAAAACCTCTAATAATGACTAATAGTTAATGAGTGCTTACTGTATGCCAGACACTTTTCTTGGTAATCTACATGTGTTCATTCAATTCATCCTCAAAACAATCTGATGAAGTAGATACCATTATTATTTCAATCCAAGATGAGGAAAGAGAGATGAAGAATGGCTGTTACTTCCCTAGGTCACTGCGGATAGATGAGCCAGAATTCAAACCTCTGGGGTCTAGTTCCAGAGCTGTGATGTAAAGCATGTTCCAAAATCATCTTCCTCCAGGAAAGATGGCATCTTCTAGACCAACTGGTATGTTGCCAGTAATTTGTTACCAGTAATAAAGTACTGGAGTCCGCAGATTGTTTCCTTTTTAATTTAAATGAGTGCAGTTGCACTTATAATGTCATTCTTCCTGCTCAGTAACATTCTGATTTCCTCTCTAGTGTAGAAAAGAAAGCCGTGCAATCCAAGCTGAAGCTCTGGAGTTACTCAGAGCCCAAGGCTCATCTGTGTATGTGCGTGTCACTCATCAGCATCAGCACCTCTGTCATCACCACCACAGTTATCACCACCATCGTTCCATTATGTATTGATCACTCTATGCCAGGCATGTGATGATTCTTCACATGTTTTCTGCATGTGTTACAGCAGAAGAAAACGTTGAAAACCAGTGATCTATACCATTCCAGAGGTCTACTTATAAGGCTTTTCTATAATTCTACCATATACCACTGGCCTGAAGAAGGAAAGAAGAGTACAATAATATTACTGGTATTTATTTTGTGTTAATCACTGGACTAGGCTTTTTACATATATAATCTTACATAATCCTCACAATAGGCCTAAAATATAGGCATTATAGTTATTTTAACCCTGGCTGTACAATAAAGGAAACCACAGCTCAGAATGGCTATGTATCTTTCCCAAGGATTGTGGAATTTTGAAATTATAGCTTCAGGATTTAAACCAGACCTATAATGATGCTTTTGAGCAGTCCCTTTAAGATAGTTTACCATTTTCTAAACTGGGTTGTTGTTTTTTTTTTTTTTTTTTTTTTTTTTTTAAGTCCTATGACACAAGCTCTCTCTTTTGTTTTTTTTTTATTAGAAAGTAGAAGCTCTCAACAAAGGACTAGATTGGGAATCTGAAATCACAAGTTATAGCCCTGGTTTTGCAGCTCACATGTTGTGTGGACAACTTATTTATCTATTAAAATGAGGAGTTTCAGCTCTAACCTGCTATATATTAGAAAAACATAACAAATACCCACAGTCATTCATAAGATATCCAGTCATAGGATATCTCCCATTTGCCCTTGGGAAAGAAGATTGTAGAGAAGAGCCCACCACAGTGATGTGCTTGCTGACTGGAGTATCAAACAAGGGTGGTTAAAGAGAAGGTTGGCTGGGAAGTGTGAGAAAGTCATCCACCTTGCAGCTGTCCCTGCCTGAATAGGACCATGGCTAAATGAAAGTCTCTCTCTGGAGATCTCTGCTGGCACCTTGTCTTCATTCCTTTCTGAACAACCACCACAAAAAAATCCTCATGAAGAATGTATTGCCTTCTATATGAAACTGCCAAAAACCCAAGTGTAGGCAAATTCCATCTGACGGGATCTCTTAACTGCTTTGATTCAGTTCTTAAAGGAGATTAGTTGTTGGAAGGTCATAGAGAAGCCATCCTACTGCACATTGCAGCTTGGGGTTTCAAAGCTTTCACTACTAAGGGAATCTCCGTGCTTGATGCCCCTTCTCTCCATGCCGTTTAATCAATGAATCAACAAATAGTTACTGAGCAAGGCTTCCCTGGGGTCTGCAGGTCACTTCAGATGTGGCTCTCCTGTTCAATAGCAGGAGAAAGAAAAACGGATTTTTCTGACTCTTCTTCCAGTTTCCATTTATAAATTGGCATCAAAAGACTGTGGGTCTCCTGTCCCTCTTTTTTCATTTCCTGAACCCTCTGATTCACAAATAAAAAGGAAATGTTATGAAGCTGGGATGATATATAAAAGCTGGAAGGGAGGAAGGAAAGAAGGAAGAAAGAAAAGGAGGGAGAAAACAAGGAAGAAAGGAGGAAGAGAGAAAGGTAAAGAAAAGAGGAAGGGAAGAAAAGAAGGAATAAAGAAGGGAGGAAAGAGAGGAAGGGAGGGGCAACAGGAGGGAAGAATGAAAGAATGAGACCCTTAGATTTCAGGAAGGCCAAAAGACACAGTGAACATGTAGACAATATTCCCAAGAGGTGTATCTTTGGTAGCATATACACTCCATGCTTACTAGCCGGCTAATTATTACTGTTCTTTAGTATATATGATTATCTTTGTGAACCCCGACTTTTAAACTTTTAAGATTGGTGTAATTATGAATGCCTTTAAATGTCCCTCTGCCTTAACTCTACCAATAGAATCATATCTTAAAGGTGCATTTAGCCTCAATACCCACAGTATCAGAAATCCCAAATACAATAACAAACAAACAAAAAACTCAACTAGTTTTTTTAAGTAAGTTGCATGAAAATTAAAAAAATAAAAAATATAAATATTACTTTTGGTTTTTAGTAATAATGTTACAAAGGCTAGGTGCAGTGTGGCTCATGCCTGTAATCCTAGCACTTCGGGAGGCCAAAGTGCGAGGATAGCTTGAGCCTAGGAACATAAGAACGGCCTGGGCAACAGAGCAAAACGTTTAAAAAAATTGAGCCCAGGGGTTCAAGCTGAAGTAAGCTATGCACTCCAGCCTGAGCAACAGCAGGACCCTATCTCAAAAAAATACTTTTTTAAAATAAAATACTATACTATGCTACAAAATGAATCACCATCTCCCAAGTGATGGAAGTTACTGTGGAGTGAAATCGTCACTATGACAGGACCACACAATGAGGTGAACATCGTCCTTCTCTGTGAAGCACAGAGAGCAGGATTCTACTTCACTACATTTTTCCTCAATCAAAAATACAGTCATCCCTCGGTATCCTTGGGGATTGGTTCCAGGACCCCTACATATACCAAAGCCCAAACATAACCAAGTCCTGCAATCAGCCCTGCTGAACCCACATATACGAAAAGTCAGCCCTCTGTGTACGAGTTTCACATCCCACAAATACTGTAGTTTCAGTAGGTGTTAGGTTGCAAAAAAAAAAAAAAAAAAAATCCACCCACAAGTGGACTTGCACAGTTCAAACCCATGTTGTTCAAGGGTCAAGGCAACAATGAAAACAGCAACAGTTGGCTAGACACTTACTCTGCCAGGCATGCTGCTGAATACTTTCCGTACGTTATCTCGTGTAACTCTTTCAACCAACATTGGTATACATTATTACCCTCACTCTACAGATGAGAACGCGGAAGGTCAGACAGCTGAAGCCACTTTGCCTAAAATCTTAAACATTGTTAGGTCCAGAGCAAAACACCAACCCATGTCTGACCCTAAATATTTTGTTTCATAATCACCTTGTACCTAACACTTTTAGTCCTTTATTTCAGCTTGGAGAATCAAGGTGAGGAAAAGTAAAAACAGCATATTTTTATTATATTTTACCCCAAAATTAACTTACACTTGGTGTTTCCACACTTGCTTCAATTTGTTCCTTCCTCCTCCCACAAGATTAATTACTAGAGTTTATTCTTTTCTATCTTTTTGATAAACATAGCTGTATTCAAATAGAAAACACACCATGAGACCACAGCATTAATCATGATAGTCTGGAGAATTTTTCAGTCTAAGCATGCAATAAGGCTCTCCAACATCTTAAAAAGATTGATCTACAAAAAAACCTTAAATATAAGTACTATGTTAACACTTAGCACTTATAGCTCTAAACAAGAGTTTGCCAGATAAAACCTGGAGTGCATGTAGAGGGGGCTGATGCTTCTACATTTTATTGAGCTTCTAAATTATAACCCTCATGCTTTTTTCATGTTCTGATTGGTTCTATCACAGCAGAGGTAGTAATACAAAAATGCACACCTGAAATTCTATCATTCAGTATGACACCTGTATATGTACAATGATGCATCTATTCAGGAGAATCTATATGTTAAAAAGGAGTTAAAAGAGACATTAACTTTTGTTCTGGCATGACACAATTATTTATACCATCTGTGTATGGAAGGAGGTATGGCTCAAGAAACCAGTTCAGGTCTGTTTCACCTTGAGGCTCAGCACACCTAGACAGAGTCCTTTGCTTAAAGTGCCTGTGGCTTGCTTGAGACTGTGACTCTGAGCATCTTCATTCCTGCATGCTGTGTACTAGCTAGATCCACCCTCCAAATCTGGATAAAGCATCCCCTTTCCCCCGCAACTTTGGCTACTAGACTTCCTTCATTTATTTTTTGAAATAACCATAGCAGGTAACAGCACACCAAACAAGCCACGAGGTTAGCACTTAACACAGGTATAATTTGCTCATTTTTCTTGGTTGAATGCTAATTTAAGCATATAATCATTTTCACATACCAAAACCACCTCTACCAGAGAAATGCAAATATTATTGTAATATCTGGTCCTTGTAGAACTCAAAAAATATCTGGGTGGATGGAGGAAAACCCTGAGGTTAGGACACAGCACTTCTCACGGTATCTGCATATGCTTATTACCATATTGCAGAAGTTGTTTCTAAAGCAAATAACAGTTTTCAGAAAGACCGAGTTTATGAATTAATCTAGAGGCTCAGGGTGAGAGAGAAAAGACAGTTGTACCGTTTAAAAGCTGAGGAACGAAATGACCTATTCCTCTTAAGTCAAGATTTGAGAACTTCTAGTACGCAATTAGCATGACCTTCCATAAAGGAAGTCCTGAAATACAGGCTTCCTTTTTGTTTCTAAAATAAAGGTACTCACCAGTGAAAATCCACAAGTCACCACACTTTGCCCAAAATCACACTGGCCGCCCTTCTCCATGGAAGCACAGAGTGGGACCTGCCAAGTTTGTGAGATAGCCACTTGGGTTGGTTGGAAATAGGCAAGTGGGGAAGAAGGGGGAGAAAAGAAAGACTTTCCCTTTAAAACTGAACAGAAGCTGATACCAAATCACATGACCTTTTACCGTAATTTCTATTAAAATCATTTCATGTCTGGTTGCCTCTGCTCTCCTGGCTCATTTGTATTGTTTACAACAAGTCATTGCACTGGCAGTTAGTGGTGGCTGAATCCATGGTTACCCGTTTTTACATTCACTAGTTAAATGGAATGCAGCTCTGATGTGGGTTTCAGGGAGCAAGCTCTTAAGAAACCACAATCCAGCTATCAATCAGACTAATCTGAGAGAAATTAATCTTATAAACATAAGTATTGTTGCATATTAAAAATTGATAGGAAGGGGGCACGGGCTTTTATTGGTTGGAGTTAATTGGAGTTACAAAACTGGACAAGCCAAGATTTGACTTAGAGCCTGAGAATGTTCAGTCTGTGGTCTCCATCTGACAGCCATTCACGTTGTGCATCTAAAAAGCTTTCAAGGGTAATACGACCACCCTTGAAAACAAATCCACCACTTTCCAAAATTTCTGTGAACATTTATCTGAGCTGAATGTTCTTAGAAACTAAGTAGTGGCTAAATAGTGGTTTAACCAGACTGCAATCCTAGCAAAGTAACTTAAACAGATACATACAAGACAGTAAAACACCAAACAGACAGCACTGGGTAGGATTCAATTAAGACAAAACCTGACTGGAATGCTCTTTATGAGTAAATTAAAAATGCAAACTAATATGTTTCATTGAGAGCAAGAAAAGCACAAATTCTTTCTATTGTCTATGAATTTATGTGCTTAATTCTTTAAAAACATTCCCCAAAGCTAACTTGTTTCTCCAGATGGACATGACCAACAATTACAATTCCTAATAAAAATTTAGAAGTTTTATAGTTTAATGCCTACAGTAATTGTCCCACAAGTCACATCTAAATGCTAAATGAGAACAGCAAATAGTTAAAGCTAACATATTACAACCCCATCTACTGCAAAGTCACTGTATCAGAAGCTAGAATTGATTTGTTTCCTCAGAACGAATTGAAAATGAATGTAACATAACGTCGGAAAAATCCCTCCTGCACTGCTAATCGGATATTGTATAATGGTTGATTGCAGCTTTGCCGTGTGCTATTGCTGCCTAAATCATACATACTTACACGTTCTGGGTTCTTCCAAGAGTTTGGTGCAGTTTCAAGGACAAATGTCTTAAGGAAGCCTCTCTACTGTGCAGCAGGGAGCCTAGCTCGGATCTGATGACAAGAGCACAGTGCTAAATCTGACAACAGAGAAGGAAACTTCCTGTGTGAAGAGGAGATCTTGGAAAGTCTCAGGGTTAAAAAGGCTGCTTTAAATGTGCTGGTTGATTTGCTCTCTGGTTGTGTATACACAGTAGCAGCTGATCTGTGTTTGCAGCCCTGCAGAAAGGAACCTTTACTGAAAACCAATGGCATCACATTTCAGCGGAGCCGGTGCCAAGTGCTGGAGAGCTGAGCAACCTTTGACAACTTCACACAATTCACCCCAGCAGACTCACCACAGGTCAGAAAGGAATGTGGAAAGTATCTCCCCACCAGGTTTCATCTCAGGTATGTTAGCGCAGTCCCCGGGAAACCACACACTGTAACCGGCTGGATTCTGACACAGCGTAAGGTATTCTCGGGACTTCTACGTAGTTCCTGTCTCTGCTGTCCTGACCTACTGTGTACTATATTTTAACAGAAGCTTTAACATGAATCAGGGTTTTTTAAAAATGTATTTCCCTCTGCTTCTTACAGAAACCTTTGTATCTAAGGCTCCTCTGTTGTTCCTCAGAAATAAACTGAGGACAAAATCATGTAAGATCGGGTAGTCTGGTATCAACTTCTGCATTCTGTCTCCTGATGCAGAGGCTGGAATTTTAACACTACCGCGTTGCCAGGGGCCATTTTAGTATTGTTCATGAGAAACTGGGGATGGCTGCAAAACTTCACGCCAACAGAACCAACTATTGCAGTGAGGCTATAGGGATGCTAGGAACAGACAAGCAATGAAGAACATGACATTTTCCACTGTTCAGTATCATCCTTAACATGGAAGAGAGTGAAAATTCTAGACCTCGCCAACTCTAGCAGTGAAAGTTAAGATAGAGTAAGAGACAGAGACAGAGACAGAAGATAGGGGCAGCTGGTAGTGACAGTAACAAACTTAATCCAAGTCATTGGTTAACCACTTCATTAACTGCGAGTTCCTCACTGCCCTTCCTTTCTATTCTGTCCCTATGACAAGTCCAGGTTATGGTATATTATATGGTATTTTTCACTATTGTGCTTTTTACTTCAAAGGGTAGAAGTCAGAACTGACAGTTTAACAAAAGGCCACGTTAAATGTGTCAGGCAGCTCAGGAGAATGTTCCCCTACTTATCTGAAAGCCGGCCCAGGAACTGCCTGGGCATCTGGTGAATTATCCAAGGTCTTTGCTTTTCATTTTGGTGACACTATTGTTCAGGAATAATGACAAATCCCTTACATCTGAGAGTCCACATCATGTAACGAATAGAGTGTGGACTCTTGTGCCAAGTTAACTTCCTATGTCTACCACATTCTACCTACATGAGGTTGGAGGTTGCTTAAAAATCTCTGAACTTCTGTTTCCTCATCTGTGAAATGGAGACAATATATCTACTATACAAAACTTTTTGTGAAGTTTTAAAGAATAACACGTCAAGGGCTTACCACAGTGCCTGGCATGCATGCGTTTACAAACATTTACTGAGCCTCCTCTCAGAGCCAGGCACAGTGCCAGACGCTGGGGGCACAAAGTCAATTAAGACACGGTCTCTACCCTCAAGTGCAGTTCCACAAGTGTTACGTATTTCCTCCTTCCCTCCCAGAATTTGTGCAGTCCCTGTCATAAGGCATTAACACACTTTAAATGCTCTGTCTCATTTGATCCTTCCAACAGTCCTAGGAGACAGATGAAGCTACACCCACTTTACAAATAGGAAAATTTTGGCTTGAAGAGGTGAGGGTCACACAGCTAGTAAATTGCAGCCTAAACACCAATCCAAGCTCTCTGATTCTGTCAAGTACTCTTTAAGGTATATATATGAATTGACCACATTGGATTCGTATTTTGCATTATTTGATATTATACTTGTTATTTTCACAGTGTCACATAGATAAATAATGCACTTCCCTGCAGGTAGCATAAATCCCTTAAAGAGAAGCAATGTATCTTAAAATTACTTTTTATTCTCAAACAGACCTAGTATGATGCTAAAGATATTATCTGTTCAATAAATTTTTCTAAATTGAAAAAAAACTCAAGTTGGGTCAATTTTACTACCCAAAATCACCCTCACAGAAATCTGGAACCCTTCAATAAAGGATGGTTTGGCGGTTATATGTGGCCTTCAAGTGCTCATGCTGTCTATGTCATTACTTCCAAATAATTATATGCATGTCAAAGTTCTTAACACTGACTCATAATTAAACTCTCTGAAGATTGTTTTGTTTGTTTAGCACGTATCCTGTACATTGAAACCCTAATGAATTTTGGTAAGAGTGATTAAATATTTACTTTTTAATTCAAGCCTGACCCCGAGACATCTCTTGATTTCTGGGTCCACTCCAGTTTCTAGGTTTAACAGTTCACACACTGAAGAGTTCTGTTGATCATTATCTTGTAAATACAGCAATCTTGGGTAGAGTCTGATTTTTATACATATATATTTGTACAAACAGCTCGAATTTCTTAAATAATTGTTGATCTACTTCATTTTACGCATTAAAATGTAGCCCATTTCTGATGGAAGAATTAATTAGACATTTATCAGTGAATCACACATAAAAATATTATTAAAAGGGATCTGTATAGTATCTAGAACTTAGATTTCAACTAATGTATTATAGAAATTAGTGCTTTTTGTTTGGTTGGTTGGTATTTTTTGGAGTTGGGGCCTTGCTATGTTGCCCAGGCAGATCCCAACTCCAGGCCTCAAACGATCATCAAGCCTCAGCCTCCCAAGTAGCTGGGATTACAGGTGTGAGCCACTGCACCCAGCACTTATTATGTGCCTTAGTTCTAATATTATACCCTGGGCATCTTTAAAAATAGAATTTGTAATACTATTTATAAATCTTTACTGCCAAACAATGATTACTTCAGCCTTAATGAAAATCCAGGAAATTTAGATTAATAGCAATGTCATGGCAAAAGTGCAAATGACAGGCGATATTTGAGATAAAGAACACAATAACTGAATATATTGTTTTTGCTTCCAAAGTCAGTCACTTGTTTGTTTAGACAATCTGTGGCCATATGTAAGGGAAAGTAAATATGCTCAAGTACTGGCACTGCATATGTTAGAATTATTAGGCTTGCTACCATCTTGATGTCCAGCTGCCCTGCAACTACTTCCTGCTTCCTCCCTGAAGTAATATGTAAAGCACCAACCACAGTGCTTGTTCCACAGTGGACAAGAAATGTACCAACCAAAGACCACTCTGGAGCTCAACAAATTCACGTCAGCATGGCCAGATCTGGTCAGCACAGAGAACTGGTGGACCCAATGACTCTTCTTCACCACCTAAAATCAAGTAACTTTACAGTCGACAAGCACTTTTATACCCAAGTGTCTGACTCAACTCTTACATCTATCTTGAGAAGCAGACACTTCTATTATTCACAGTTTTATAAAGGTTCAAAGAATTAAATAATTTCTCAAAATCATTTAGGCAATAAGTGATCCAGTAGAGATTTTGAAATGAGAGCTCTAATTCCAAAGTCTTTTCTCATAACACACTGTCCTTTCCCTCCAGGGGATATGTGCACACACTAGTTTACCTCTTTTTCCTTTTGGCATCACATCCTGCAGCTCAGATAAATACAGACAAAGCTATTCCCTGTCCTTATTCGCCCCTCCACATACCCATCTGCCCCCACCACACACCTCACCCTCTTCTATATGCAATTGCTTCCATTTTTTATTCTCTCACATCTTGG